ATTCTGAAGGTCATATAAAGAGAAATGCAAAAGAAAAAGGCCTAACTTGAAAAAATATTTATCACAATAAGAATATCTAAGAGAGAAAAGATGTGTAACTAATAGAAATGCCTTATGTTGACACAGTATTCTATGGTCCGTCAGTTCTAGTGTCTCATTTGATCCTTATTGTGGATTATTGTCCCATTTAAAAGATACAGCAACTGAGAAACTAGAACACATGTTTATGATAACACTGATAAAGTAACAGAACTCAGAACTAAGAATACTCCCATTATTCTCCCTGGTCTTATCTTGGATATTAAAGCTGATACCTGCTGCCAGGTCTTCCCACACAGAGCCCTCAGCAACCACGCCAGGCTGTCCCAGGAATCCCCCTTAGCTGGGCACTTGTGGGAGAATCAACTTTGAATTTCAGTAGATAAAAATAATGTTTTATCAAGCATATCGTGGTGTTTTTTGATATGGCATTTTTTCTTGTTTGCTTTATTGCTGAAACAGAAATTGTGCTCTTTTTGTTCTATCAGTGCTAGGCAAACTCCTAATTTCAATCTGAGCGAATATCTGATCAAAAACCCTTTTTGTTGCTTCAAATTGCATGAGTTTATCTTTTTTGATTGTTGATTAATATTCCATTATGTATATGTACCACATCTTTTTGATCCAGTCATCTATTTTTGGGCATTTTGGTTGTTTCCATAGGTTAGCTATTATAAATAGTGCTGCTATAAACAGAGGGGTGCAGGTGCCCTTTGCAGCAACATGGATGGAGCTGGAAGGGATCATGCTCAGAGAAATAAGCCAGAAAGAAAAAGAAAAATACCGAATGGTCTCACTCATAGCAGGAATTTAGAAAACCTAAATAAGGGAGGGGCGGAGGAAGGAGTAGGATCAAAACAAGGAGGGTGGGAATTGTATGGGGACTATACCCAAGATGAAAATGCATACATTGTGCAAAAATGAAAAATGATGTAAAAAATGTATAAAATAAAAAATGAATTTAAAAAATCCTTCTTGTTGTTCTCTTCCTTATGATTATACATTTATGTGACTACTGTCTATTTGAAAAAAGTTACCGACAACCATTGAAGAATTTTTTTTTTTTTTTATGTTTCCATGTGTTTATCCATGTGTATGACTTTGGCTGGGGCTTTTTATTTAGATCTGTTCTCAAATCTCAGACTTTCAAAATCAGCAATTTCAGAGATGTAGTAACAGATGAAATAAGAAGACTGGAAATCTGGGCTTTTCATTGAGGCTTAATTATAGATACCATTAACATTTTCATAAAATAGTTATAATCATCACTAACATTTATCAACAACTTGCTAAGCAGATTACTAGATTTTCTCACTGAAGCATCTAACCCTGTTTTCTCTCTGTGAGTGTACCCTGTGAATTGGCATGACAAATATTACTATACTGGTAGTTACCAGTGGAGACTGTAACTTCAGAATTGTTCAATGTTTTGTGCAAGATGACATAGCCAATAACTAACAGAGCTGGCCTCAAATCAGCTAATATTTTCAATTCTTGCACTCCTTGCTAGGCAAGGCCTTCCAGTTTAAGGCTCTTAGAAGTCAATCGTGTATTTAAAATGTTTGTGGGGGTTCAATTATCCACATGTGTTACAATGTACAGCCACTGAAGGCATCTCTCTGGGCAGGTGGGTGAGAGCAGCCAGAGGGGGAACAGTTGAGACAGGCAGGTTCAGCCTTTCCTCCTGACCACCTCTCCACCTGCACATTTGGGATGGTTGTGCAAAGGGACCTCTAAGGTGTAGGTTGTTGTCTATGATGATGATATAGTTTCATCCTAAGAACAGCAGTCTGTGGATAGAACTAAAAATGAAGTGAGCAAATTCTTGAGGAATCATTTAAACCTCTGCTAAGAATTAACTTGTGCAGCATACATTAGCTCTAATAACATTTAAAATTAATCCGAAAATGAAATTAAGAAATCAGTTCCATTTACAATAATACTTACAGTAAAGTGGATAAAGGGCTTAGGGACAGATTTAACTCAAAAGAGGGCAGAAGGTTCTCTCTGCATGCTATAAAATGTTGCTGAAAGAAATACAAAAATAAAAACAAAAAACTAAATGAATGAAAAGACACCCGGTATTCATGAATTAGAGGATGCCATATTGTAAAGGAGGAGACGTTCTTCAGATTGACCCATACAGATTGAGCATAATCCCAATCAAAATCAGTGTTGGCTTTTTTTGCAGAAATTAACAAGCCGATGCTAAAATTCATGTGGCAATTCAAGGTCCTATAAATAGCTAAAACAATCTTTTAAAAGAACAAAGTCGGAAGACACACACTTCCTAACTTTAAAACTTAGCATAAAGTTGCTATCATCAAGGGCATGCTGTACGTTGATAAGGATGGATATTAGATGGAGCACATTTATGGTGAATTGATTTTCATTAAAAGATGCCAAGATGATTCACAGCGGGAGAGGTAACCTTTTCAACAAATAGTGTCAGATAACTGTGTATCCACGTGGAAATGAATAAAGCTGAACCCGTTCGTCACGACATAAAAATGGATCAAAGATGTAAATGTAAGAGCAAATTGCATAAAATTCATTAAAAAATAGGACAAAAGCTTCATGACCTTGGGCTTGGCAAAGTCCTCATGGATATGACACTAAAAACTCATACTGGGCCTCCCTGGTGGCGCAGGGGTTAAAGTCTAAATGTTACTTTGACCGCTGAGCTCTATGTATCCTGCTCTCACTGTGCTACTGGGAGGAGGGGCTGCTTCTCCTCCAGATGCCCTGCTCAGTGTTTGCTGTTCAATTAACACCGGTTGAAAGAATAAACTGTAATCAGGCTGGGGCCTTCCATTTGGAAGATACAGTGCTCCCAGTGGACTCCTGAAATTTGTTTACTGGCAAAGAGCACAATCTTGGCACCTCCAATATCTAGTGGATGTTGAGATGATACTAGAGCCCTCACACTGAAATAGACATCACCCAACCTTAATTATGAATTTAAATTATCAGATGTCCATAGAATGTAAAAGCCAGCCTGTTGATCATAGATCTAGAAGAATAGCACCTAATAAATATTTCTTCAATTTGAAAGCCCCCCCCCTTTTTTTTTAAAGAACTCTGTGTGTTTCATAAACTGCTGTGGGAAGTTGGAACTTTGGCTTTCTTAATGTACTCTGTGAATTACTCAGAAAAACAGAATCGATTTCTGCAGAAGTGCTATTGTGATTTTTAATGAGATGGCGTTAGTGTAAATGTGTATACTGAATTTGTGTGGTAAGTGAATCTCGTATATGTTTGAACTTGTGCTGGACCATATTCTTGCCAAAATTTAGAAAATCTATTTAGAAAAATTTCCCTTATTCCTGTGCCAGTTTCTCTGGAAGCCAAAGGCTTTTGTCATAACATTGCCTCCCTGTTTCATCTGCAGAAGAACAAAGTTAAAGTCACTGAAATGTGATAAATTAGGATAGCAATCTACCTAAACTGTATGAAACCATTACTGACTAACTCATATGGTGTCCACCTTGAGAACTTGGTATTATATGGCGTTTGGTGATAACCCTACCAGTTCATAGGGACTTGGGTAGAATAGTTTCCAAAGTGTCTTTTACTTTTGTCCTTGTCTGCAGTCTTTTAAAGTAGATAGAGTGGAGAGGTAAACCAGTGCACCCATTTTGGAAAGCAATCTGGATTTATCTTTAAAAATATGGAAATTATAGTATGACCCAGCAGTCCTACTCTTGGGCATCTATCTGAAGAATATGAAGCCATAACTCCAACAAAATCATCTGCCCTGTGGCATTTGCCACAACAATATTTGCAATAGCAGGGAGGCAATGGAAGTGCCCACAGATGGAGAAAAGGATCTAGAAGATGTCTGTCCACACTGTGGAGTATTATTCAGCCATAAGGAAAGATGAAGTGTTGTCACTTACAACAAAATATAAGGAGCTTGAAGGAATTACATGTATTGTAGTAAAGAAGTGAAAATGACAAAGGCAAAAATATTGGACGTTTTCTTAGCAGAAGTTTGCACAAAGCAAAATATGTAGAAAAGCAAGCTGACGCTAATAAGCTAAGTTAGACTTCTGAGGTGAAGAGGGAGGGGGGAGGCAGAAAGGTCAAGGGGTGTAAAGGAGGGTGAGGAATGGTGGGGGGGAGAAAAAGAAAAAATGCCAGCAATCACAGCTAAAAGGATACAATGTAAATAAGTAAAGTAAGAAGCTTCCATTTAAGACCAGAGAACATTCAAACAGTTCACCACTTTCTTCAATTTATGGCACCTTTCAGCTAGTCATTTCAGCATACTTCTTCCAAATTCAGGAGGAATTAAGGGAAAACACTTGAATGAAGTTGAAACGTGTCATGCAATGGGTGCAGTGCGAGGAGCTTTTGCCTCAAACTGTGTGATAATTTATAATTGGATGCTTGTGCAGGTTTCTAAATAAGACAATCCTTTATTGGCAACCCTAACGCTTTTCTTGTTTGTTTTCTTTAACTAGTTAAACCCTGTTAGCTAAGTTCCTCTCCCTCCCTCTCCCCAGATATCTTTATTAATAGGAATACATGATGTTTATGTTCTAAAAAAAAAAAAAAAAAGCAGGGTGGTCTTAGATGTCTGTCTTCCATTCTGGCATTTCCCTTCATACAAGCCTTTTGAATTTTCTGCTTAGAAACTGGCATTCCGATAGCTTTTCTTTGGCCTAATGCCTGGCTTGCATATTACAGCCGCCGGTTAGGAAGGTTAAGATGTCCACCAAAGAAAAATGTTTGTTATGAAAGTAGAGCTGACGTGACACATAGAATTAGAGCTTCTTAACTTGTCTAAATGACAGTTAATGATCTTTTTCTTTTTTCTTCACTTTTACTATTCTTTTAAAGGGGAAGAGCAAAGGAGAATGAAAAAAATGCCCAGAGGCTGAAAGTGGGATTGGTTCACCAAACTGTTAAATGTCAAATGTACTCCACTGATAATACATCTCTTTGTCTCTTTTTAGGAGCTAATTTTGTTACTCGAAAAATTAGCCGGTCAGTAGCTAAGATTTACCTTGGACAACTGGAATGTTTCAGTTTGGGAAATCTGGATGCCAAACGAGATTGGGGCCATGCCAAGGACTATGTCGAGGTAGGAACTGACTCATTAGATTCTTGAAAATACCTGTATGTTGGTGTTTGAAATGCCGGGCCTCTTGAACAAAAGCGTGACCTGGAGGTGGTAGCGAGGAACGTTTGCTAATGCAGGTCGGCCCCAGCCCGGGCTGCTTTCTGTCTGAGACTTGTTGGTTCAGCAATGCACGTGGATCACACTGGATGTTACTCAAATGAGTTCATCTTTCAGAAATGTTCTTTCAACTTTTTAAAAAAACAAAGGTGGCCATCAATGATTTTTATGATGGATAAACAAATACTTCAATGGTATTCTTTACTTCTCAGGTTTCCTTCTCCTCCCCACTTTTTTTTTTGCCTTTTCCCTCCTCCCCACCCCCACCCAGCACACATAAACTAAACATGAAAGAACATTTTTGGTATAAGGTACCAGTTCTCATATCATCAAGAAATGTGACTTAATTTTCAATTGGTATACTCAAAGACCTTCAGGTTTATGTTATCCCACTAAATCATCTAAGAGTCATATTACCTAAGAGTAATATTACCTAATATTACTAATATTACCTAAATTACCTAAGAGTAATATTATGGTGCTTTTGATTTCTGCTGTTTTCGAGTCTGGGGAGTATGGTACTGTACTTTCTACAGCATGACTTCGCTCACCAACAAGCGTTGTCTGTGAGGGAAAGAGAGAAAAGTTAATAACGATGCTACTGCTCAATAACTGGTATAGTTAAAGGAAATTCAGATTCCGCTCTTGGGCTTTATATACATAATGAATTTTGGTTTTGGCGACATGTGTTAGTTACTTAGATAAATGTGTGCAATTTCTCTAAACAACTTTTCTATCTGACTTTGCCCTGATTTGTCTGCTTTTATCACGCATGGTGGCACGTTGTTGACATTGTCTTTTGCCCTGGAGCTCAATGCCTTGTTTCGGTGCTGGCAGATTTCCTGTGCTGGTGAGACTATTTCTGTCTTTCATGATTCCTCTCTGGGAAACCGGATCTGCCTTCCTAGTTCATTGATGTGATTCAAAAGAAACTTGAACATTTGCAAAAGAAAGCAAACAAGTAGTTTACTTGCTAACACAGAGCTTAGCTGCAGCACACTGTTTTTGTTTCTGACAGTGAAAAATGTCGTGTACTTGATTCATATCACACTGATTTACATAATACACGTTTATATTATAAACCAAATGGTTTTAAATTTTGAACAGTACAACTTTCATATCATTTAAATTTGTTTGCTGAGTTTTAATTACAAAGAAGAATTTTTATAGCTTTAGTCCTTGAGTAAGTTGTAAGGATGTTACGTGAAAAAATATTTAAGGGTGCACTCTCAGAAATTTTAAGGAAGTGAGAGAAAGATGTTAGCTGGAGAAGCAGAAACTTTCTTTTGTCTAACCTATGTGAAAAAAAGAAATTAAACTCCCTCCAAAAATGAGGCCAGCTTTGTGAACTGTGTTTTCAGTAATGCTTTGGTGTATAGCCCTCCAGCTCTCTCTGTATACTTAAAGCTAAATAGAAGGCTATAAAGGTATTACTCTTTAGCCAGGTTCTTTTTCTACAAAGTTAGGAACCAAACAGATCAAATTTCGTTCTATTTTATTATTATATTTTTGCACTGAGGTAAAAAAGTTTGCACTGGACTTAGATTTTGATAGTGAGGGAAATAGTATGTCAAGATGTTAATAATACTTATTATGGGTTCTGTTTATTTTCTTTTTTACACATCTACATTTTCCATATATTGAAATGAGTATGCATAAACTTTTGAATCAGGGAAAAAATAAATGACATTTTAAAAATAGACCAAAAATTCCAACAAAAACACAAGAGATCATTAAATAAGTATGTCAGTAAAGAGAAAATCTTTGGGGAGCTCAGTGGGTCTTGACAGAGAACTCTGCCATCAGCTCCCTCCCGGAATGCCACAGCTTGCCCAGTTCCTGGGTGTAGCTGGCTGTGTCTATCTTGGCACTGAAGGAGCCATGTTTGTATTTGTTTAAAATGAAAGTATTTTATAAACTTGTGGCTCGAAGACTTCATAAAGGTCTTCTCAAAGGATGTCAGTTTGAAGATCGCTTGACAAGATGGTGTCAGAACAGGGTACCCAGAAGCCAGAATAACCATGCCAGGTAACATACCTGGCCTTTTAGTAAGAATGTAAAATTTTTCAGATTCCATAGAGAGAGACCACATACAAAGTCGAGTCACCCTAACTGGCATTGCAGACCTGATTTGCCCTACTACGGAGTGGGCTTTGCAGTTCAGGATTCCCCTGGAGTTGGGACAGTAACACAGGTTGATGATGTAAGATGCCATTTATAGCTCTATTTCATGTGTTCTAAAATAAGTCTAAATTTCTGGACTTCTAGAAGCAAGCATGTCATTATTAAGTAAGAATTCATAGTTCGCTATCACCACTTTTAGAAATATTACCACCCCTTGCATTTCAAAATATATTAAAATGAGATTACTTCACAGACTTATGACTAAGAGTAGATGTTGCCAAAATCAAATTTCATAGTCATAAGAATGAGAAAAGAGGCATTGTTTGTTTAAAGCACATCTGCACCCCGGTGCTTATAATCAGCTTTGAGCATAAAGAAGCCTTGACATGCACGGAGCAAGCAGTCAAAACAGCACCTCTTCACACATGTCTTGATGGCATAACCCCTCTCGTTTATATATAGACACATCATGTTGGTAAATCCTCAGATTAAGAGACTTGCACTGTATTACTTTGCATGAATTTTACAGTGAAGAGTAGAGAGCACTGGATGGAGTCAGGTAGGTGCTCTCAGCTGTCAGTGACTTTGCCCCCCACCCTTAGACAGGACCTTATATCTCAGTTTACCCATCTGCAAAAAGGACATAATGACAACCCTGTAAAAAATTAGCATTAATGTGCTGTAAATATATGATTAGAATCTACCTCTGTCTTGTAAACATTTTTGCAGCAATTTATACAAAGCCATTTCCTGTTGCTGATTCAGGCTCATTAACATCCATTTATAGTCTTGTTTCCTAGATCAAAATGACTTAAAAGTTATCTAAGTGAGTAAGAGGCATTTCAGCTTGAAGTGAATGGTAAAACTATTAAGTTATATTGTACTTCAGAATAAACAAGTCATACACAACCCTAACTTTTTAAAATATTTTACTATAAACATTTCTAAACATGCAGAATTATAGAATGAATTTTACCGTGAACTCTCATAGATCCGAGACCCAGATTCTACAATTATTGTTGCATTTTGAGCAAAAGATATTACTGTTTAAAAATTGCTGCAGTGCTAGTAGTTCAGAGCTACAAATACTCAACTCACACAAACACGGGCTATCAAAATTTTACATTTCATTTAGGTTAGATCCGTGGGCAATTCGAAGGTTTTAAATCTTATCATCTTCCTTAATACCACATGACCGGTCCCTTGTTCTCACGCATAGCTCCCTCCATATCCACTAAAGCCACTCCAGTGTTCCTGAGAACACACTGGGGGCTGTGTATCACATTCAAGCTGACTGAGCAGTGTGTGAAAACTCAAAGGAGAGACCCCTATCCTGCCCGGGGGTGGGAGGCCCTGCTCCTTCGGCATATCTTCCTGGACCACTCACCATGGTCTTTGTTCTAGTTGCTGTAAGTGACAGTCCTCCCAACTTTGTCCAAAGCCACAGATGCCTTTAGACTAGAGTGCCCCAAAGTTAAACAGATGTGTCCTTAGCATTGGTCTGACTTCTGAAAACTTAGGATACATAAATGTGCACAGGGCCTGCTAAGAGGAATGGCTGCCCAAACCTACTCATCCTCGCCACTCTTTCATGAAAAGTAAGTATTAACATCTAGCACCATGGAGTGGGCAAGTGTTGCCATGTTTAAATAAGTTAATGGTAAGTGTGGTTGACGGGATCCCACTGTGGGCCTGTCTTTGATAGCGAGGACACAGCTGTAGCTATAAAATAATGAGAGATTGGGTCACTGGTAAGGATGGGGCCAGAGTCAGTGTGGTTTTGTTACATTTTTGCCCCTCGTGCATGAGGGCCCTTGCTCTTGGGATTTGTGAGCAATAGCAAGTGACCTGAGTCTGCACTCTATCCAGGACTTAGCAAAAAAAGAATATTTTTAAAAAAATATCATAATGCTTTACTGGCAATAGCTGACCCTACAGATGTTTCTGAAGAGATCTGGTCCAAAGAGTTCTGGTCCAGGGGGTTTTCCAATTGCTAGGGGAGTCTTACTGAATTTTACTGAGTCTTACTATTACATTCCCATATGCTCCCTCCCTCCTTCCCTGTTTTCTTTCCCTCCCTTCCTTACAGATCATTAACAAAAAGCTGCTTTTGAAAATATGATTGCCAAATCTTGTACACATGTATGCTAGAAATTTGACTGAGGACTTTGTATGCCTCATCTGACATAATATACACAACAATCCTGAGAAGTGGAGTGCATGTCTCATTTGATGGAGCTGAGGGTCAGGGAGTGGAGGAGACATGCTCACTCAGAGCCGCAGCCAGTACAGGTGAAGGATGCCAGAGCTCCAGCCCAGGCTGGGCCCCCACACCAGGCTCATCAGCACTAATCTGTGTCTCATTGACGGGACAGAGACATTAGCAGCGCTTTGGGTAACTTTTCATGTCCAGGGAGAGAGAAACTTGAGTTTCTCTCCTTTTCCTGCCGTTGAAGGGGAAGAGAAGTATTGGGGAGATGTGCGTGTGACTGGTGCCGCTATGAGATCCGTGAATACATTATATTGTCCACATTGGGCAGAGACGCGAGGGGTGTGTTTGGGCAAAATGGGTGATTAAGTGCCAGTCGTCTCTGTCCACTGGCTTCTGAGTGAGTTAACCTTCATTACAGCTTTCGGTTCTCAGTGGATTAGACCTGGGGCAGCTGGGAGGCTCTGGAGGAGGAGACTGTTGATGGCGCTGGGGAGAATTGACCCCCACTTCCCCAGCCATCCTTCTCCGTCCTACCCTGCTGCTACATCCTGTGTCATTTCATACAAAT